CTCTAAACTAGAAGGATAAACAAACCCACCCGGTGGAAGCTACAAGTCCCACGACACAGGAGCGGGATTCTCTAAAAAGCCAAGGTCGCGGGTGGCCAAGAAGGCCCACTTGGAGACTTGGGATCTCAACAGGAAATGCGAAGGTTACAACAATGAAAGCCGATCGGTCGATAAGCGAAAGAGAATCTACTAGTTTTGTTCTGATTTGAGTAGGTTTCTAATAGGGAATACTCTAACCTTGGGAACCGGCCTGTGGCCATACCGAGCCCCATCATGTGAAATCCTACCTTTCAGACTTTTTAAAAAATATAACTAATTATTATTTATGAACTATTTAAAAAACATAACACTTAATTTTGACGATTTTTTCGTCCCTTGCATTCCAACACAATGAAACGCATGTTAAGTAAACTATCATCAACCATCGAGTCGACATATAACAATAAAATCTATATACTTTCCATTTCCTTTGTGGTTCCAAACTACCGAAATGGACGTATTTTCAAACCAACATTATAATAACCAAAATTGAAATAATTCTTTTTTTTTAAGGTAATTGAAACCTGACTTAAACTACCGATTTCAATGAAAGTCTAAATATACAATTTTCTTCATTACTTTAATAAACTATGTTGCATACGTCTTTTATTTATGTCAATTTGTAAACGAAGAAACGACGAAGTGACATATTTATATATTTATATATCATAATTTATCATGGAAATGAATAAGTTTAATACTTAATATGAAAGCATATACATGGCAACTCTACAAGGTTTCTATTTATTTTATTACCATATACAGGAGGTGAAATGTATGGTAACCAAGAATCTTGAGACAAAATGGTTCAGTGAATTAGGGAGAAAAAATGAAGGAGATTATATATGTTAAGAAATATATCAGATAAATCAGTCTTTTTGTGTTATATAATATATAATTATATATGTTAGGGATAACTGCAAATTAAATTTTTTTGTGCGTTTTGATTTCTTGTTGGTTGAAATTTTGATGCGTTTTTGCCTCTTGTTTCAGAAAATAGAGTGGGATTTTTTTGGGATTGTTGTTATATATAGTGGGCTTGGTGGTGATGCATTTTTCATCCATCGGCTTGCCTAASAGATCTCTCATCTCTCTATCATATCTCCAACACAGGTGGTGAGTTTGTTTTTCTATTTCGATAAAGTACTTGTTCGGTCTCTATAATTTGAGTTTTCGATTCATTTTGGTTACTGTACTTAGTCTATGTATTTTCAACATGTTCATTTTAGTTCTTGTACTTTCAAATTCTTCGTTTTAGTTATTGTACTTTTAAAAAGTGTTTATTTTGATCTTTATTTTCAAAATTTTAACACGAATTCTATACCTAATGAAAACTCTTTGTAAAGTTAGAAATATATTGAGTGTAGTGTTGTATTGAAGTTGTCGTAGAAAAATGTGATTAGAAAACAAAATGAAGGGACGATTGTCACTTTTTAAAAGAATATAGGGAACTAAGGTTGAAAAGTATAAAGACCTAAAATGAAACAAAGCGGAAAGTAGGACCAAACTAATATTTTAACTTTTTTTTTATTTCGAAACAAACAAGTTTTCTCATGATATATAACTAAACTTAATTTTCTTGTTATATTATGCGTGGTCTCCCCATTATTAAATAAGTTCTCGTGATTTTTTTCTTTTATATTTATGTGTGTGTCAGCTATGTTCAAGCTCGCTGACGCACACCACGACTAATCTCGTGGATTATGAACCTAATTTTCTCTTTTGAGTTGCACAACTAATTTGACTTGTTTTTACTCTCTAGCTACTCTATGTGAATAAATTATAAGGACTTATTGAATAGTCGAATGGAATAACTATGTCTAGAAACCCTAAAATATGATTTCAAACCCACTCTATTCTAATTTCTACCCAAACAGCCCATTTTTCTTTAAAAAAAAAATTTAATTAGCTTCATTTATCTATATTTAAAAAACAATAGTTCAAAATACATGTTTAATTTTTTTAATAAGTGATTTTATGATAAAAATATCACTTTATTTTAGATTTATTAATATTAAAATTAAAAAAATTTTAATTTGCAACTATCACGTCAAAACTACTAGAAATAATTCATACATTTTCAAATTAGCTATATTCAAAATGGAAAAAAAAAGGTAAATGTTATTTTACTTTGAACTCATAAAATTAAATCATATCTAATTTTAAATTATATATATATTAATGAAATTATTTGATTTTCAAATTAACCTCATGCAAAGTAACAAAATAGAATCTTTATAATGTGTGCTCTTTTTTTTTTTTAAGTTATATATGTTAATCATTTTACATTATAATTTTGTAAAAAAAAATTATTGAGATTATTTGTTTTTTTTAGACAGAAATATCAAAAACCAAAAAAATTAGCACGCACGAACATCATCTTCCATCAAGGAAGAAAGCCACGACAGTCCAGAACACCCCCCTAACTTCCGGAAAAAGTCGATGTGCAGGCTTGCTTTGCCAAACTGTGAGCACATCTTCATGACCTCTTGTAGATCCAAAGCTTCGTCGATGGAAAAGCTAATCTCAGTTAGGTCGGAATCCACCCCTTTCAGCAGATTAACTAGTTCAAGGCAGTCCGACTCAACAATGGTTTCTAACCTTTCTTCCTTGTTGATAGATTTCAGACCTTCAACCACAGCCATTGCCTAAACCTTGATTTGACATCTGTGATACACAAGCCTACACCCAGCCGAAATCAACGAACCATTAGAGTCACGAAGAATCCAGCCAATGCCACCACGATTCAGGGAGTCCATCCAGGTAGTGTTCGTGTTCAATTTCCATCTATGGTGGGGTGGTGTGGTCCAACTGTTCCCTTCAACTGCGCTTCGCCTATCCCGCTTGACCAGGTTTGTCTCTCACTTCAGATTGTGATTCCGTAGAACAATTTCAATTTCCTCAATTAACGTCTGGATGTTGGGATTCTCTTTACTATGATATATCATGTTCCTGTACCCCACAATTTCCATAAGATTAGTTGCGATTTTTGTAACTCGTCCCCGCTCACTAACCTGTGACCACATCCAGTCGCAAAAATCCTTGGAGCACCATCCGTGCCTGTTCAACCAAAAATCACACATATTAGAATTTAAATAGAGAGTCCAGATATCCCTTACAAACCTGCAGTTCCAGAAAAAATGTGTGGATGACTCAGGAATGATGTCGTTGTAAATTCGCCAGCAACAAATCTTGAGTTTTGAAGACACTGATGTTCTCCAAAATTTCTTCCATTTCTTAGCTTCTTCCTCTGAATTTGAGGTTTGGACCTCATCAGCGGAAGCCAAGTGAACACCCAATCTATAAGCACTTTTAACGCTGAACTTCCCTTTCTTATCTGGCCCCCATATAACTTCATCATGTTGATTGCGCACCGAAAGAGGAATATTTAAAATGACCTCAACCTCCTCCTCTAGAAAAGAATTCCTAATCAAGCTTTCGTTCCACCCTCCAGCGCTTCGAATGAGAGCATCTACATGCTCCTCCCTGACAGCTCCACGAACAAGAATAGGCTTGTAGTTATTCTCCCTAGGCAGCCAAGGATCTTCAGCAGCCGCCACGCTTAAATCATTTCCAATTTTCCATCGATATCCCCTCCTGAATAGATCCCGCCCCCACCATGTACTTCTCCAAGCATAGGGAGGATTGTGTCCCAATTTTGCTTTTAAGAATTCCCCTCCCTTGTGGTACCTGCCTCTCATCACTTGAGCCACTGGGCTTGATGGATTATTGAGATTATTATAAGTTCATAACTATCCTTTGGATAATTAGTAATTAATAATTAATTTTCCCTTATATTTATTTTTTAATTTGGATTGTTATTTTAGCCTTTATGTAATATTTAAGGTGAAGATGAAGGAAAATGACAGCGTTGAGTATGTGAGTGGTTATAAGCACAAAATCGTGTTCGTAATGGGCTGCACCGCCACCGGAAAATCCAAACTCGCCGTCGACTTGGCCACTTTCTTATCGTCGGAGATCATCAACTCCGACAAGATTCAGTTCTACAGAGGCCTCGACATCGTCACCAATAAGATCGCCGAATCCGATCGCCTCGGCGTGCCTCACCATCTCCTCGGCATCATCGACGATCCCGACGCCGATTTGACTGCCGGAGAGTTCTGCCGCCGCCTCGAGGAAACAATCGCGGAGATCATCGGACGCCGACGGCTTCCAATCGTCGTCGGAGGATCGAACAACTACATCGAGGCGTTGGTCGATAATCCGATCACGAATTTTCGGTCGCGATTCGATTGCTGCTTCGTTTGGATCAACGTTTCACTTCCGGTTTTGTACAGGTACTGTTAACTTTCATATGACGAGAGAAAATAGAGAGAATAAAGATAAAATAAATTTTTTCCCTCTCATTTTTATCGCAACATTTATCATAAATGAGCTATAAAAAAAAGTATTTGTAAAATTGAAAATAAAATTAAACTATGCTAGGAAAACTAAATATCATATTAAAATTTGTTTATATCATAATAAAGAAAGTAATTAGTAAATACTAAAAACGTTATATATTATTGGTTTATGCTACGAAATTTTAAAATTTGCCGTATTATATTTTAAAATGTCATTATTAAACCGCTATAATTATATACAAAACCTTACAACAATCACAAAAATTGCTTCCAATTAATGGGCATATAATTGAAGAGTTTTTTAAAATCTTGCAGCGGGTTTAAAATTTTTACGAATAAACTACTACAATATACAATTGCAACGATTTTTAAAAGTGTTGTAGCAAAATCKCTGCATTTGTGTTGACCTATTGCAATGTTGCTGCAATATACTGTCTTACCACGATTAATAAAAATGTTGCAAAATAATTGTTGCTATAGATATCTTTGTAGCGATTTATAAACATTAGTAAATTGCTGCAATTGAATATAGAATTAAAATATTTAAAAAATTGTTGCAAAAAAAAGTGCTACAATTATATYATGTGTTGCTAGAAATCATTGTTATTTTATAAAGTCTTGCACCACTTTCAAAACTGCTGAAAAAAAATAGTAATAATAATAAATGTTGCAACAGTATTTCTGCAGCGATTTTATTTAAATGGAAATACAAGCTTAATAATCTATTTATACTATTATATTTTCTAATTAGAAATAAGAAATCTAATTCAAATAATATAATATAATCTAAATATAATTCAAATCTAATTATAGTTCAATTATCATTATGTTATCTGACAGGTACATCGCAAAGCGTGTGGATCGGATGGTGGAGGTAGGGCTTGTGGAGGAGGTCCGAGAGATGTTCGTTCCTGGCGCCAACTACAGCCTCGGAATTCGGCGCGCGATTGGCGTTCCAGAGATGGATGCTTACTTTAGAGCAGAGCAGAACGAGGAAGCGTACAAGGAAGATTTGCTAAAATCGGCGATTCAAGAAATTAAGGACAATACCTGCAAACTCGCGCTCCGTCAGTTGAGGAAAATTCATCGACTCCGAGACGAGCGCGGTTGGGGACTTCACAGGATTGACGCGACCACGGTGTTCGAAAAGAGCGGAGAAGACGCTGTCGATGAGTGGATGAATGTGGTTCTAAAACCGAGCTTGGCAATCGTCGGCGATTTCCTCAACGAAGACCATGAACAGAAAATTTCTTCCAAAGCAATCGAGAACCCAATTCGTGATTGGCGGTTACAAAGAACCCTTCGCAACTTTACTTGAATTTGAAATCACAGCTACAGCTTTGAGCCCCCAATGTGATCGTATTCGGTCTTGTGTTTGCCTTCACAACTTTACTTGAATTTGAAATCACAGCTACAGCTTTGAGCCCTAGTAGAATCGAGCTAGTAWTCGAATTCAGGACATTTTAATTCGTTCTTAATCCATTGAAATCCTATAAGATCTATCTAGTTGTCTAGAAAATTAATAAGATTGCTCCAAGTCAAGCACACTTAACTTTGGAGTTCTTACGATTGAGTTACCGAAAAATAAGGTGCACCTTGTTAGTATAGGTAGTAACTATCATTTGTTTTAAACTTTCTTAACCATACTTCTATAGTCTCAGGATCCCTCTCATTCGGATATGGTATCGGTTCATTTATGTACCCCTCTTATCTAACTCGGGCGTCACATGAACTAAAAAATCAGTAAACTTTCTCAAGATCAAACTTGCAACAACAATTACTTTCTAGGAAAACCAAAAAGGCAATGCTCCCAAGTCCAGGATTTGGCCCAAATCGCCCCAGCATTTCCCTGTGTCCCTTGAGACCTAGTTACGCCAACTTCTCAACCTACTCTGAAACAAACTGACACGACCCGCCCCAAAATACCTATTAGTTTTAGAACAACCCGCATCGACCATAGACCCCAACCAACTATAGAGTCTACAGTCAAATTTCTTTCTAGATTTCTAAAACTAATTAAGATTATTCTCTAAAATATATAACATAAAGCGTAACATAATATGGTTAAGAAAACTTAAAAGAAATTATAGTTACTACTTATACTAACAATGTGTACCTTCCTTTTTGGTAACTCAATCGTAAGAACTAATCTTCGGTTGGGTGACCTCGTGTTGGTCTGTAGGGAGCAATAGGTAAATTATCATTTTAAAATTGGACCTTCATTCTTTAAAAAAAAAAATTGCTATATTTGAAAGTGTTGCAATTTTACTAATTTTACTAAACACATATTTGCAACTATCGCACGTCAAGATATTCTTAATTCCCCCTCTCCCGGTTGAGAGCTCAAATTCTCACCTTACATGTTGTAAAAAAAAAAAAAATAAATAAAAATAAGATTTTGGTGTGACACAATTAAATGAAACTCCATTTTACTGTCTTAAACCCTATCATTGGTGTTATATCCAAAGAAAAGATTTTGGTGTAACGCAATTAAATGAAATAACACCGAGATATTTTAGGATTGTGATGTTTATCCATCGAAGAGTGTTACGTGATGACCCTAAAATTGGGATCTAGTAACTCGGATTTGTCACATAAACCTAATTATCATCTTCTCATTGTAGACGTAACTTAATGGATAAACTATTTAAACCTAATTCAAAAAACTTAGGGGTAAAATGAAAAATTTTGAAACTTAGGGACCAAACAAGTACTCTTTATAGATTTAAAATTGAAAATTTTTAAAAGAAAATATTAGAAAAAAAAAAGGTTAAATAGTATATTTGGCAATAGGCCACATTCATTATGCATAAATCAAAGAAGGCCTTAGTTGAGTTGACACGTATGGTTGGAGTGATGTAATATCCAGGTGACGGATGACGTTAACATCTCCCCGACATTCAGGTTTGCCGTTATCGGGAAAACGGAGTTTCCCAATTTTGCACGTGCCCACGCGTTGACGTGTAAGGAAAGCGACTGAAACAAAATAAAAACCAATTACCATTTTTCGCTTCTTCGGCCGTCTCCTTCATCGCCTTTTTACAAGCCCTCTCGCTACACAATCTACCCCTTCCTTTCCCTTTTAATTACATAATAACCATTCTCTTTCTTTTTTCTTTTTTTTTGAAATACATTCTCTTTCTTTTTAAATGATAATTCTCTTTTGCTTTTTTATGATCAAACATTGTAAAAATTGAGAAAAACAAATCAAATAAAGCATAACATATATATTTTTAAAAGGTTAAAATACAATTTTCATCGATGTAATTTGAGCTTTGGTTCATTTTGATATTTATACTTTTATAATATTCATTTTGGTCCTGATACTGTCCAAAATATTCATTTTGGTTCTATACTTTTAAAAAGTGATCGTTATGGTCCCTATTTGCAAAATTTTAAAATAAATTCTACACATAAAGAAAATTGTTTAATTTAGAATCATGGTTGCATTTCAGTAAATACATTAAGTGTGTGTTGAAATTGTGATAGAAAAACGAGATTAAAAATAAAATTAAAGGCAAAAAATGGTCATTTTTAAAAAGTACAAGAATTTTCTACTTTCAAAAGGTGATGGTTCATTTTGAAAAGTACAGGGACCAAAACAATTTGAAAATATTTTTTGGTTCATTTTGGTTACTCTACTTTCAGAATATTCATTTTGATCCCTCTACTTTCAACTTTGATTCATTTTTGTCATTGTACTTCCAAAACAATGTTTTGGTCTCTATACTTTAAAAAATGATTATTTTTGTCCATTCATTTTATTTTATCTCATACTTTTTTTATCACAATTCCAGCACAATATCACACTAAAAGTTTTCATTGGGTATAGAATTTGTATTAAAATCTTATTAAAAAAAAGACCAAACTAGTCATTTTATAGAAGTACATGAACCAAAACAAACATTTTGAGATTAAAATTAACCGAAGTTAAAAATATAAATATCAAAATTAACCGAACCTACAGAGTAGATGAACCAAAATAGTATTTCAAATACACCATCATTGTCCCACCAGAAAAGAGTCCACAGTGGGGCCCAAACAAAGACTCTCCTATATCCACAATAATGACCACCTCTCTTTAGCCTCTCTTTCCCTTCCAATTTCCCCATATTTTCTATGCTACTCCATCTTTAAGCTGAAGCTTCTGCCACCCCCTCTTCTTTCTCTTCATATTTCTTTTTTTCTTGGCTCTCAATTCTCTCTTCTGTGTTTAAACTTTGAAGTGTTAAGTTGCTAAGAAACACTTTCCGTGTACACAGAGAGAGAGAGAAAGAGAATCAGTTTCCGCGTTATCCTAAGCTAAGCCAATACTTCTGATTTCTCTGAAGCGTGCAAGCTAATTCCCCATATCTCTGAGACAAAATACCGTCCACAATTTTCTTTTCTGCCAAACACCCTTTTTTATTCTCTTCAAGCTTCTTCCTCCTATTTAAGCTTAACCCCTCCCTCATTCACTATTTATTCACCATTTTCTCTCTCCGAATCGCTTTCCTTTCTCCACTCCTTTCTGGGTCTTGTTTCTTGTCCATCCTTTTCAAAACCCTCTTAAAGATTTCCCCTGTTTCTGCATTTTCTTCTGCAAATTTGACTCCAAGGTTTGTCCTAGATTTGTTCATTTACAGGGAGAACAGAGCGCAGGTTGCGAAGAATTCGAGGATTGGTTTGGTTGCAGGAGAATTTGACGCCATGGGAGCCCATTTGAGCAAGAAGACTTCTCCCACGGGAACTTCATCAGCTTCATCCATGAATTTTGCCACCAATTTGGCTTTCACAACAGAGCTCAGCTCCTACGAGGCGGCCTGTAAAGCTGATGCTGATCTACAATCGTTTGATTCCACCCTCCAAGCTCGCACCCACCAAGCCATCAACACCATCGCCGTCGGCGTCGAGGTTCGTGCCCTATCCTTCGATTCTCTTAAAGAAATCACAGAGTGTTTGTTAGAAATGAATCAGGAAGTTGTGAAGGTAATCTTGGCCTGCAAGCAAGATATATGGAAGAATCAGGAACTGTTTGAACTGGTTGAGGAGTACTTTGAGAATAGTTTACAGTCTTTGGATTTCTGCACTGAATTGGAGAAGTGTCTAAAACGAGCTCGTGATAGCCATCTTCTGATATTAATGGCGATTCAACAGTTCGAGGAGGAAACAGAGGTGGGAGGATGGAATAACGGGTATGTCAAAACTCTACAAGAGTTGAAGAATTTCAAGGCCTCTGGTGACCCTTTTACAGAGGAATTCTTCAAAATATTCCACTCTGTTTACCGGCAACAGATTGGAATGCTTGAGAAACTTCAAATTAGAAAGAACAAGCTTGACAAGAAAATCAAGTGTATGAACACCTGGAGGAAGGTGTCCAGCATAATCTTTGTAGCCACTTTTGCCACTGTGTTGATATGCTCTGTTGTGGCAGCAGCCATGGCAGCTCCACCAGTTGCGGCAGCAATGGCAGCTGCTTCGTCGATTCCGGTGGGATCGATGGGGAAATGGATAGACTCACTATGGAGGAACTATGAGGCTGCTCTGAGGGGACAGAAAGAGGTGATAAGCTCAATGCAAGTGGGGACTTATGTAGCCATTAAAGACATGGACAACATTAGAGTGCTGATTGATAAACTGACAGTGGAGATAGAATCCCTGTTCCAGAAGGCGGACTTCGCCATTGAAGAGGAAGCTGTGAAGCTTGGGGTGGAGGAGATGAAGAAGAAGCTGGGGAAGTTCATGAATAATGTGGAGGATTTGGGAGTACAGGCTGATACCTGCAGCCGAGATATAAGGAGGGCGAGGACGGTGGTTCTTCAGAGGATCATAAAACATCCTAACCACTGAAAAGAAAAAGAAAAACAGAGTGTGTTTTCTTCAAACTGCTCTGTTCTGGTGCTAACTATTGGTTGTTTTTGGTGAATTTGTATGGATTTTTTATGATGAATCCAATAGATTATTTCATTTTAGACTTGAAAAATATTGGGTGTTGGATTATTGATTCGGAATTTTATGCTTCAAGGTGTATTATTTGTTTGTTAAGTTTTTGAATTGGACAGTATTCGCTTCACATCTGGTATGCTTCAGTTTGGCTTCTAAACTGGGGTTTTGCAGACCCTTTTTAACTGATTCTGGCCATCTTTGAGAAAAAAGACAAATATTGTATCTCTTTTAGGCAAGGCATGGTTTAAAGAAGTATACTCTACGTTTGGTCATCAGTACGTGAATTTGTTTATCTGCAGTTAATTTCATAAGCTACCTTAACTCTACTTAAGAAACTTGGTTTTTGTTTTATAAATCATAAATCTAGAAATCAGACATTAATTAAATACGTATTATTTATTTAAGAGATCGTGAGTTCGAACTTCATCCCCACATTTTGTACTAAAAAAACAAAAACAAAACAAAAAACGTATTATTTTATTTAAGTTTGGATAACCTATTAGTTTGTACAATTCAAATACACATCACAAAAATTCAAACTTCACACTCCAAACTTAATAAAATTATGAAACAATCTGTTTAGCTCTTTTTTAGAACAAATAAATACGAGTTTTGAACCTTCAATAGTAAAAATTGGGTTCAAATCTCATACTCATTCGTCAAAATAATAATAATAACTTCAATTTTAGATGAAAAAGAATTCCTCATTGGTAAGAGCTGCACGGGAGCCACCTTAGCTAAGATCCTTCTGAAGATGGATGATATTCTTTAAAGGATGAGAACCAATCGAATACGGGCTTGAGATATTGTTTCTACCTCTTCTTATAAGGAGTGCCTTCGGGAACGTGAACACAAGTGGTGCATGCATGGTTGTTGGTAGCTCATGCCATAAGGTATTGGGTTAAGTTGCCCGATAAATTATTCATACCAAAAGGGTCAAATCATATTAATGCAAAAAACATTCAAATACCAAAATTTTTACCCTATATACCCTCACAGGGAAACCGTTCAAAAATTGAATCAAATAGGACTTTTTAACGCAGTGGTAATGTAACTTCATAGTCAGGTACAAGTCATCGATTCAAATCTCTTGATTCTCTCATGTTACCGCCCTCTCCCCACCAAGCCCTTTAAGATCAAACCATTCCATTAAATTGAGTATGATTGTATGTGTCATGGCCGTTTAAGTTACCGAATCTTCAACGGGTGCATGGACAAAATGGTTGAACAAGAAGCGCACAAGCACGTGTAGCTGAATCCAAATATCTACAAGATCCTAAGGCTAGAAGTATTAACTTTAAAGGAACATTTAATTGGTATTTTTTCCTTGAAAGTACCCATAGACAAAGCATTTCATTTAAAAATAATATTCTCAAAGTCTATCTCTTTTTAGTATAATATATGGAAGTGCAGACTCAACTCACGACCTTTTGATTGAAGGCAGATCTCTTAACCAATTGTCGTTACATTATATCTCAAACTCCCTCTTAAATAAAATTTAATTTTTGGAAATGGGATAAATTCGTGCTCCACTCCCAAACTCGTAAACCATGTGGAATAGGGATATGGTAGCAGAACTATTATTCCTAATAGCAAAAAAGAGAGGTCCACAACTCTTATATTCCACATACTTGCTAAATTGAAGAGAATATCTTTTGATATTACAATATTTGATCGATAGGTCCATATAGTTAGTAAGATATTTTGGAACAGTACACATGCCAAGGATACAGTTTCAAGAAGATTTCCGGTGGCTGAAAATTGGCATTGGTCGAATGTTGAACCGGGTCGCAAATGCCAGGTAGGAGCAGGCCAAGGATACATAGATTTTGAACCAGATGGACGAAAAAAATGTCAAGTAAGTAGATATGGTGATTAGGACCATCACTGTGATGATGCTAACGAAGCACTTGATGGTTGAGAGATCCCCTTCAGTTCCTTCATTGGGAAAATGGCCTTGAGAACTAAAATTTTCAAGTAATTGGTCCTTCACACTGAATGAATCCATCAGCCAATTGGTAACTTCATTTTCTGTAGTTGGAATGTTGTTGAGGGGAATGCGTTGGATGTGTATATGAACTTCAGAGGGTTCCAATCCAAAGACATTGTCCATTAAAGAGGGGCATCGATGTTTGTAGCCGATGGTTACATCGTAAACTACACGAAAGAAATGAAAGTCTTCAGATTTTCTACACGTCAAGCAAGAATAGGCAAAGTTTCGTTTCTTGTCAAAAAGAAAAAGAATAGTTAAAGAGCTATTCGTTTCCCTCAGAAATGGTGACAACCTAACATCTCTTCTGTTTCCATTTTTTTGAATCTAGTAATGTAGCCCAAGGACCATAACAACAATCAGTTCCTTTGGGCCTTTGGGGTATCTAATTTTAGCAACCATGTTGAATTCAACCACTTCAAAACTGTAAACTAGGGAAGCAAATAGAAGAAACATTTTAAGCAGGAAGAGGCAGAAGACGGATACTACCTGCATCCAGACATTTCCTCAAATCCTGTACGCATGCATGGAAACCCTTTGTTTTGGGAAGCAAAACATTTCTTAATATAGGCAAACCATTTTCGGCTGCATACTTTTGGCTTCGAATGCACTTCTGTTCACTACACAAAATGGAAAAGAGTGACATGAAGCTTGTTAGACAGTCTTCATCAGATTTAAAAAAGAAAGTAAGGCTTGAATGATGGAACATGCTAAGCACCAAATACAGATAGAAGATATCCATTGGAAGTACCATTACATATCGGAATTGTAACTAAGTTAATGTTGGAGAGAATTTTTCTAGGAATTGTTGATTTTCTCATATGTAAATATTGTAATAGAGCTATTCTTTCAAGCAAGGAAGAGAAATGGAACAGAGATATCGAGTGATTACGTGAAATCAGTGCCTTCAGGGAAAAGAGCAAGCCATAAGGGATCATGATAGTCCTTAAAAGTTGAAAGCATTTGGCGCATTGTTGATTCATCAGCCTCCCATTTCCTTTCCACAGAGATGAACTCTAATATGTGAAATCCCCAGCCAAATACAGGTAGTTTCATCAAACTGCTCTTGAGTATATACTTTATGTATCCTAGTTGTCCCTTTCGCATTGCAAGATCCCACAGGTACATCCAATCAACTTCAGTTCTATGGTTTGCAATAAGCAAGACACGTTCCTTTGCCGGGACCATTTCTCCAGAAAAAATAACTTTTGTTTTGTTAATCTTCTCAAATAGGAATGGCCACAAAGCTAACCAAGAACCGAAGAAGAAGGAAGTGGCTTTCCGGCTATAATGTATGCTGAATACTCGCACAATAATGGCACTGATAAAACCATAGTATATTAACATCATAAATGCTGTTAAAATAAGCACCAGCAAGCACAACAGACCCCTGAGAAGCCTAGCTGGAGTTAAGGCGTGATGCCTGGTTTCAACATCCTTGACTAGAGGCTTAAAAACTTCCATACCCTCTCAGAATCATTCACAATATCCAGCACATACGTACATGCACTGTCAACGGTGATGGGTGGGTCGCCTGGTTAAGAAGGCAACACAGAATGATTAGGACATGAAGGGGTATCTCATTGACAAAATCTATAATATGAGATGAACTTCTTGCTTGTCAGCAAAGTAGTGTGTGACGCAATTAAGTTATGGTTTATGATAGTGATATGGTCCAAATGTAGAATTATTTAGCTACAGATTGGTTCCTGTAAAATGCTCTGTTATGAAACTAAAGATGTAGGCAATTACTCTAGAATAGAAAGTGCATCTACAAAAATTATACAAGATCAAGAATTGAATAGGAAGGAGGAATGAACACCGAGAGGATTTCCTGATTCACTCTTCATTATTTCTCCTGGTAAAGTAATTTGGTCTTTTAAAGTTTTAGCTTCTTTCGTCCATTGAATTACTCTTCCACATTTCCTTTAAAACTTAAAAAACTGATGAAAGTTGCTAAATCTGTAGCGGTTACTGATTAGTAGATTGAAATTCAGGTTTCAGCAGAGAAAGAAATCCAAACAACTGGGAACAATAAATTAAATGAATAACCTTCCACATTTTCCCTCTATCTCGTTATTAGTGTTACTTGTCTTACCTACCGTCGTGAGAGTAAATAACACCATTTAAAGCAAACATTCACCCATGCAGTGGCTACACTGCTATAGCAACAATCCTCTGAGAAAAAGACTAAAATCAATGAAGTGAATATAATATAATATAATAATACTACAATTACGAAGCAAATATCTTACATGCTAATGCTTGCTAAGATATGAACTTCACCTTTTGTTCCTTGATCGATCACAAGTCCACAGCCTATACTTTTCAACCAATAGCATCCAATATGACCACACGGCTTAAAGAGACTTCCAGAAATCCGAATATACTCGAATCATGTATATAGAACACAATGTGCCTGATCAACCGCTCCGATGAAACGTGCCATTCCAGCTTAAACTCTCCCCCTGTCCACAGATAATCGAGCATAAATTGAAAACCACTGACAGAACAAAAGCTTGATACCTATACAACACATATCAAAGCAATGGATACAAATCAGACTTGGACAAAGAAATAATTAGTTCAAATCATGTTCGCTTGCGAAGTCAGGCAATCAAATCAAATCACCACGTGACATGATACATCACAACACCGAACAAAAAAAAAACGGCAAAAACCACTCGAACAAATGCATGTGTTCCAGTAGGTTCGGGACAGTGAGACGCGATACACATCGTGCTAGATTTTCTACAGTATTCGCGGGCATTTTCTCGGCAACCAAACAGAGACTACTGAAATGGAGAAGAAAAAGGAAAAAGTGCGTAACCTCAAACGCATTGATAGCTTCAGGATTCGACGGTGATCTTCGGTTGAACAGCGACGCGAAGTTAATTTCTGGGCGGACACAGTGTTCCAGATTTTTTCCTTTTTTAATTTTTCTTGGATGGAGGATTTATTGTTGGTGCTCCGGTACTCGCTGATTTCTTTGGAACGCTGGTTGCCAGGTTGATGGGAGTGAATATACGTAAAAGGACAATGGAGAGGTTGAAATTACGATCTTGCCACCTTACCATTTCCAATGTGTTGCTTCGTCGTTTGTTACGGGTACAAATTGGGGAATTTTGTTTTGTTTTCATCACCGATAAGTGTGAGAATTCGAAGCCAATTTTATTACCTTCGCATTGTTTAGTTTGGAAGGGAAATTTTTTTAATTTGCTTCCAATCTGATAGGATTCAATTTTACATCGTGTAGTGTTTGGTTCATCTCAATCTTGTTTAACCATTACTTTTTCTAACAAAAGTTGAATAAGATATTGATTACAAGTTGATAATCGAGTCAATGAAAAATATTGATATATCTTTTTAATTAAGATTTTAGGCCCTTAGAAATGGGAATGAACATTTTATGGTTCTATCATTGACATGTTATATAGACAATTCGTGAGGATCGTGATTGGATGAATAAAAATAATTGAGCAGTGTCGAGTTTTAAACCCTCTTTGATACAATATGAAGATAGAATAATTTTAGAAAGGTGAGTAACTTCATATGGGTGATAAGTTGAAGTTTAAATGATAAGTCACAAAAAGGACCGGCGCTAACTCATGAAATGTTAGGATAAAATAAAAAAATTATTGTTGGCAAATGTAAATTGAAAAGTAAGAAAGTGGTAAAATCAAATGCAAAATACTAGCCCCTCCCATGTGTGTTTGAGCCCCAGCTTGGACATGACGAGGATGATGAGGAAGGGTCCTGCACCGAAAAAGCAGAGCTCAGCTTGACTCCTGTATGGATTGATCGATGAAAAATTCACTGATATTCGACAAAATTTTGCTACAAGAGGATCCTACAGTAGCCGACGAAAAACTCATTGAATGATAGTTATGGTGGTCATTACAATAGCGCCACGATTTTCAATGTTCCTCTTCTATAAAAGACAAACTCACACATTCTAAAAGGTGTGTAATCTCTTGAATGTTACTTAATTAAGTTTGGCTCGGCACGAGCTTATTAACTTAAACTTCGAAGTGTATATGATCGAGTATCATACCAGTGCAAGATTCTACTTATAATTTATTAGTCAAGCCAACGTGTTGGACCACCAGTTGATGTTTAAAGAATCGCACATAAAAATCATGTAAAATATGTACATTTATTCCACAATTATTGAATTGACAGGTTGTTGAAATGAGTTTGATGCTTACCTTCCATAACTAATTAAGAAAACTATACACTATAAAGGGAACCTATATTTTTCTCCACACAAATGGAAGAAATTTTCGTGGAAGAAAAATTATAGCTACAAATATAAATAGCAACTCATTCATATATCTCCCACTTAAAGGTCGTAAGTTCGATCGTCGTCTAACATATTATTGTATTAAAAAATAATTTTAATGTGATTTTTTTTAATATTACTATTTTTAAAACTTGTTTCAACCAAAACATATACCTTCAATCAAGAGATTGTAAGTTCGAATCCCCTCCCCAATATATTTGTACTAAAATAACTTGTTTCAAAAATATTTTTGACAACCAAACTTATTAACTTAAATAATGCATAATTAAGCACCATTAAAATGGCGACCTACATATATACGTTGCCCACTTGCTAGCACCACATATTTTTTTTTATGCACCATTTCTGCACCAAGGTCTTTCTTAATTATGTTTATTAAGGCCGTAGGTTCAATTCAGGAGCATATCAGACTTAATCCCCTGAAAGCCTCAACTTTGAAAAACATTATTAATATATATGTTGTGTTCAATATTTAATTTTAAGATTGGTTTCGTAACGTTCTTATTTCTTGTTTTTTATTTTTTAGTAAAGAAAAATATAATTACATCTCATTTGAGTATTATTTGTTTCGGTCCACGTGTTATTTTATTATTATTTTTTTCATTACAAAGGCGTTAATTCGAGTCTTAGATAACTTGAATTGAGTGCAATTTTTCAGAAGGAATAACCGTTTTTTAATTTATTTTTTTTTTCATTACAAAGGCGTTAATTCGAGTCTTAGATAACTTGAATTGAGTGCAATTTTTTTAGAAGGAATAACCGTCTTTTAATTTTAAAAAATTCCAGTGGTCTAATTTAAATATAATACAAAAAACATGTTTTTTTTATTTTTTTAGAATACAAAAACATGTTATTTTAAAAACAGTTTATTGCATAAAAATCTATATAATTATTATAAAATAATAAATTTTGATTTATCATTTAAAATTTAATTATATTTCTACAATATTTAGATAGAAAATTTTAATACGCTTTCTAACTTTATAAAAATATACAATAAGTTTCGTAGCTTCCAATTTTGCATTTAATAAACCCTTTTATGTACAATAAATACTCAAAATCCATTATATATTTTTTTAAGTTTAAAAATCTATTAGTTTTTAGGATCTATTATATGTTTTTTTTTAATTTATTAACATATCAAAAGTTTAAGAATTTATTATGATTTTTTTAACTTCGTGTATCGAGTAAATACAATATTGAAAATTTATGGAAACATTTGTGATTTAATTGATTTTGTATCAAAATATATAAACCGTATGCATATCAATGGTGTTCAAAATTCTTTTCACTAGATTGCTATTGTTATTGTTTACCATTGTAATATTTGAGACTACGTCACATAACTTACTGAATTTTAAATAAAGTTCATGAACAAAAATTATGGATTATCTATTGCTTCAATCTCCGATCCTAAAAAGTGTACATAAAACTAACATTTAGGTTAAAATATATATATTTGGTAAATTTCAATAATACCCCTAAAGTTTCAAATGTTTTATTTTTACCTTTAAACTTTAAATTTGTTTCAAGACTAACTTTCCGTCGATTTTATGTTAAAAGTGAAGATGAAAAAGTGACATTGTGGTGACTTGTAAAATAGTGGTACGTGGGCGAAAGATTAAAGGTTTCATTTATATCCATAAACTTTAGGATATGCTTCAATTATACCTTGTCATTTAAAAAGTTTCATTTTAAAGCCCTTGGCTATTGAGATTTTTCCAAAACAACTTCATTAGTTTTCCCACTTAAAATGCAAATATGACTGCTGGTTGAGTTATGGGAAAAAAATTAAAGAGTCTTAGCCACGTCTCAATTATGTTGTATAATTTAAGGAGCAAACGAACAAATTTGGAGGTTAGGGTAAAATATTATTTATCCTCTCATAATCAAAAGATGGGGGAAACCAAATTTTTTCAGGAAGTAAGTAGACCACCTAGGATATATGAAATGTGAGGTCCCTATCTCATGATCAGTTGTCGAGAATTAATGTTAGGGCATGAAGAAAATGAAGGGAGAGATGAACTCAAAAATTTAAGATGATCAAACTTAGAGACCGTTGTTTCTTTGATTTCTTTGATGATGAAAATTATCTTTCTTCATGGGTCAAATCTTCTCTCTCACTCTTAGCATCTATATACCTATGCTTTCAATCGACCTACTATTTTTCAAAATTTATCTCATAAGCCTATTTCTCTCGTGAATTATGAATATCTCTCTCTACTCCTGTCTCCAACACCTTTTCCAAGGTTTGAGTTGAATAGGGTTATGATTTTTATCAATGTGACTTCCCGACCCTATAATTTCAACCAAACTATAATCGAGATAATTTTAAATGTGATTAAAACATTTCAATTATTTTACATCTCACCACCAAAGTATGTTCATGTGTAACCTTTATTTCTCAGCTAATTATCGTATTATATTTTTATCTTACATTTCAATGGAGAAGCTAATGAGGTTGTTTAGAAACGATTTCAAATGTTAATAGTTAAAATGAAATACATTTAACCATCATGGGTGATTTATTGGTCTAAAGAGATTAGAGTTAATTAAGAGGGAATGAGTTCAAATCTCATAATCATCTACCTAGTAATCCTTTCAAAAAATCAAGACACGATCAACGACCATGCATTTTGACGAACATTTATTTTTTAGGAAAAACCAAATATTATTATTTTTTAGGAAAAACCAAATATTATTATATAATATAAATATGATTTTTTCAAGACACGATCAACGACTTAAAATGACATGGTTGTCTCTTTGACTCAACAATTTTAAAAGTATTATTTTTGAAATAAGTTTCAAAACAAGTATTTTTTATTTAATTTGATTTAGTGTCGCATTATTTTTAAAATAAGTGTAAATAAAAACATTATTTAAAAAAAAATCCAAAGAAATCCAGTAATGAAAAAGAAAAAAAAGTGAAAAAGAAATCAGATAAAGAAAAATAAATCAGAAAAATAAAAATAAAAAACGTTGTTAAATCAAAATGCCCCCTAATCGCGGGGCGACTATATAAAGAAGGGGAATCGAGACTGACTTCGCGCACAAGATACTTCTGTGTCAAGAACCTTCTTCTCTACTAGCCCGTATCTGCTGCTTCCTCTTTGTCCGTCTGAGGCTGTTATGGAGACGGATTTCAACGATTACAAATTGCGGTGCGAGCTCACGGGCCATGAAGATGATGTAAGAGCTCAATTACATTCTCTTATTTGATCTGTTAATTGCTTTCTCAGTTATCATCGTTTTCGAATTGCGCGTTTATAGAAGGTAGTGGTTGGGCTAATTCCTGCTGAACTTGATAATTAGGTTCGGGGGATTTGCGTGTGCGGGAATGCGGGGATAGCCTCTTCGTCGAGGGACAAAACTGTGAGGTTTTGGAATTTGGATGGACGCAAGTATGTAGAATCGAAAATCTTGCTGGGGCATACGAGTTTTGTGGGTCCTTTGGTTTGGATTTCGCCGGACGAGGAGTTCCCGGAGGGGGGGATTGTGTCTGGTGGCATGGATACACTCGTCATTGTTTGGGACTTGAGAACGGGTGAGAAGGTGCGGACGCTTCAGGGCCATCAGCAGCAAGTAACTGGCATCGCCTTGGATAATGGTGACATCGTGTCATCCTCTGTTGACTGGTAATTTGATTTCT